AAAAAAAAAAAAAACAAAAAAAAAACTAAACAAATAAATAAACAAGCGAAACCGCCCCCAATTCGCCGTTACACTATCAACGTACAAACGATCTTACAGTTACTATTTTTTACTTAGAATACTATTTCCTTCAGCTCTGGCTACGGCCAAAACACACTGTATATATATATATGCATTTCGTTTGATTTCTCGTTCAAAATTTAGCGAGGTTGTAAAGAGGAACAACACAGCGTTTCTTGGTAAACTGACCTCTGCTCCGTTCGATCATTGTGTTAATAGCCTTCACTTCGATGATCTAATTACGATTGTAAAACGAAATTGCCGAAGAATCTTTTTCGAAACACGATGCAACTCACAGCGCCGAATTTTGTAATACTTATACAATAGCTCTCTTGAGGAGCTTTATTTCGATGCAAGATAAAATTCGCTGGATCCTCGAGATCACTCTCGCTCACGGGGGTGGAGGAGGGACACCCACTGTTTAAGTCGAAACTGCCGGTCTCTCTTTTCTCCTTTTTTTATTTTTGATAAGTTCCCACCGATCAGGGAGGATTATATTATAAATATATAAATATATATATATATATACATATACATATATTGTAATAGAATATCGTCGCAATGCTGGATTCTGCATTCACACACATTCCTCAAGACACGATGTCGCTGTATCTACGTTAAGTGTGATAAATGCGGATAAAATAGATAAACGATTGACAAGGCGTCGACGGCAACGACGACGACGGCGACGGCGACGAAAGCACGACGAGGACGGCGATGACGAGACCGCGTCCACGACGACGATGGCAATAATCGACGATGCTCTCTCGCGTGTCACTCGCCCTTTTGCAAACGCTCTGTGCATATCTATTTATTGTTCTTCTCCAGCTGGCAATGAGCCTCAGATTTCTCGTGAATATCCGACGCTTGAGAACCCAACTTCACTCTGTACTTATCGATTAGTCCTGTATATTTATTATATTGCGAAGGAAAAGATGATTATTATCCTTAGTCTATCACACGATCATAATCATCGTTGCTGTTATTGTTATTGTTATTGAGATTGTTGTTGTTGCTGCTGCTGTTGTTATCGCTGTTTTCGACACTGTTTTGCCCTGATCGTTCGGGGTTGCCGTCGTGGTGGACGTCGCCATCGCCATCGGCATCGGCGTAACCGATACGCTAATTAAACAATAAGATACGACTATCGCCTACTCAATGTACAATATGTAGTATTTACCTGTTGTTACCACCAAACCGTCATCAAAGATATATAAAATATTGTAATTGTAACAGATCGCTGTTGCTATAATTCTCCAACTCCATTCTCCATTGGACTCCATTAATGTTACAATCATAGACGGTATTACAGTCATTGATAAAAAAGAAAGAGGAACAAGAATTTGTATATTATGATTTTTTATTTGTTCATATAGACAGCTATCAATGATTTTATTGCCATGATCGAGTAAATAGGAATCCTATAAACATGAGGTATTGACGTGTCATTTGTATTATAACAATGAAAATGAAGTTTAAGATAGTAATTGAGACTGATAAATGAATATGAGAATTATCTATAAAAATCAGACTGACATTTAATTGCTTTAAACAGTATATACATTTTAAATTAAAGATATTCATTAAACCATCTCCTGTCATATTTTGAGATCCATTTGTGGCAGCCAAGCATGTTGTTCTGAATGATATATTTCCAAGTCCATGGATTTAGATTTGTCTCCTTCATTGTTTTCTTCTCCTCTGCCATTTTATCCATTAATTCTTGACTAACTGCCATAGCATGGCAAGGTAGCCTTTTCGCAATATTTATTAATACAGGTTTCACCTAAAAAAAATTATGCATAATAACGCGTGTTAAAATACTAATGATCGATAACAAGTCAAGAAGTTACAATAAAATTTCTTCAATACCTCGAAATATTCTATGGGACCGCCAACTTCTATGATAATTTGTCCTGGTTTTACTGGAGTAACATAATGATCTATGGATCCTTTTCCAGAACCCATTCGCGTTCCTTGAGCCTATATTAAACATAAATTACAATTGACAATTTCTAATATTACTTCATATCAATTACCTTCTTAGTGATAGGTTGCCAAGGTGTAGGTATTCTCCAAATTGCAAATATTTTATCATAGTCTACATTTCTTAAAATTGTCATACGGATCATTTCGAAATTCTGGTATCTGAATCTGCCACCACTTGTCGCCTAAAAAATTTACTTTCTTATATTTTATAAAATCAATATGGAGAATTTTTCAATTGTACTATTTATTCCCTTACTACTATGCCATATTGTTTATGTAAAAGGGTATTGTGATATTCCTCTGGACCACGCATTAATCTCAATTTCTTTTGCATTCGATAAGGTGCTGTTTGAGGTGGAAGTATAGGCACTCTTGGCACAACTCTGAGCCTGTTACGATCAGGATATTCAACATCTGCAAAGCACAGTTAATTGTTAATGATAATGTCTTTTTTGTTCAGTTTTATATCAAGCTATTAATTTCAAGTACAACCTAATTCTTTCGGTGCTGAGAAAGACTTTACTCCAGCTGCTGGTACTGATTTAAATATAGAACATGCTGTAACATAATGTGAATTACTAAAAATGAAAGATTTTCAGAAGGCAATAATTGTTATGAAACTTACATGACAACAACGATTTCGAGATATTTCTATACAGTTGCATTTTTACAGTAACTTTTTTAATCTTATATTGTTAAAAATATATGTAGCAATATTGTTTTTTAAATGCTGTCACTTTCTAACCTTTATAACCTCAAACTTGTACTGAATTTTAAATATTCTTTTAAAATATAGAGATAATACTTAATTCCAAAATGTTTGAAGTGACAATATTTTTAATTTTTTTGATACATTTCTATTATAATATTATAAATACATAAATGAATTTGTCGTACACTAGTGCCTTTCTAATTTGGAATATATTATCTGCTGCTATCTATCGATCATGTTAGTACTATTTAGCTGAACAAATACGTGCTGCCATCTATCGAGGTTTTAATGCTATTATATTTCAAATCCACAGTTTTGGCGCGATTTATCTAGTTATAAAAAATAATGAAATGTTCCTAGACAGATGTTACTTTATACGCTATGTATGCGTCGTTCTATCATTTTGTAACGAAAGACTGTTCATTTTTGATTGAAACAGCTGATTCGAATTAATGTGTCAAAATATTCTAAAGAACTGTGTTTCCTCAGACGTACCTGACTCTGAGTGACTTAGAAATTGTAAAAGAACCAACATTGAGCAAAGATATGTATCATCTCCATGAAAATGTCCAAAGGAATGTCGAATCGTCTTTTTGGCGAATCGTCCTGTATTACATACTTTTTGGAGTTTGTTTTTCTGTTATATCTTATCTATGAAGTGTGTACTATAAAATAGTAATTGACAATGGCAGACAACGAGAAAATTTTTGCTTGCTCCTCGACTGGTTGCAACATGGTAAATATATAGATTTATTATGTTAAAAGTGATGAACATTTTGATGCATCTTCCTGTAAATTTTTAAATTGTTCTTTTACTGAAAGAAAGAAGATATGAATTTATATAATTGTTCGAATGTTATTTAAATATTTTCCATTTATCTTGTAGAGTTTCACAAATGAGGACCAGTTGTCGATTCATAAGAAGAAACATGACATGATGTTAAATCTTGGAAATAGCTCCAAGAATGGCGGTTTCGTTGGTAAGTTGCAACAGAAGCTTTTATCTTTGAATTATATTTCAAACGTAGAGACAAATGAACAGGAGATACTTGTACATTTCACAGCAGATCAAACACCTACCCCGACGCGTTTCATTAGAAACTGTGAAGAAGTTGGCCTGTTTCAAGACTTGCAAAACGTAAATCCTTTTGAAGAAACTTTTAGGAGGGCAGTAGAGTCAGGGAACACCGGTACATTGACAGTGCCAGAGGTAAATAATGGAATTAACATAAATGTCCATCTAATTGACCTATCATATAAGTATCTCCCTAGGCTGGAATTACAGATGATACTCTGCATACACCACATATATTTCCCCACATAGCTGACGTACTATCTACCAGCAATCAAATGTTGTCAGAAAATTCTGTGCAAGAGTGTGCGAGTATATCGATCGCTGAGAAAAGCACAGAGGAAAAGAATACTATTGATACGGAGGTTTGCAATTCTGTGAAACTCGCTGAAACGGACGAACAGAACTTAATGAAGAAAAAGTTAACTATTGAACGAAATGTAACGTTAACAGAGAATATCATTGATCAAGTAACACACACGTCGATAATGCCGAAGGTTTTACAACAACATACCCCGCAATTGTAAGTGTTTAATTTTTATTTCATTAAAGAATTTAACATTCCTGAACAAATGAGCGGAGAATAAACTCTTCTGAAGATCGATTAATGGCGAGGAGGTACAACTGTTGCTAAAAACGGCCGATGGGAAATTAATGCAACTGTCGGCAATTCCGGTTTGCGATTCCGTTGGTACGACGAATGTACAATCGTTGAAACAACAAACGGTTGTGATAAGAACGGAACCCCTTTTACAATGTAACACAAGATTGGAGTCCAAAAAACCAGCAGTTTCGACGCTATCGCTAGCCAAAATGGTATATTTCGCTGTATAATTTCGAATATATTTGAATGAAGTAATTATCTCCTTTCGGGAAATTAATATTCTCGTATAATTACAGAAATTAAAGCAAACACTGACAAGAGGTGCTGGATCGCAAAGTCAGAAATCCAATAGCAATTTCCGGAAAGATGAGTTAAATAGTTCCAGAAAGGAGAATAGAAACAAAACGGTAGAGGATCAGTTGAAAAAGAAAGAAATTCTCGAACGTAATCGTGCCAGTTCGATGAGGGCAAGAGCTAAGAGAAAAGCGTGGATACAACAGCTGGAGAGAACTGTTGCTAATGTGAATGAGACCAACGTGGCTCTGCAAATGGAAATCAAGGTTTTGCGAACGGAGGTTGCTAAATTAAAGACACTTCTCTTGGCTCATAAAGACTGTCCCGTCACGAAGGCGATGCAGAAAGGTAAGAATAATTATTTCCAATTTAGATTTTATTCTTTATTTTATTATTCTTACACATCGTTTACAGGAAACGGTATAGTACTTGGTCCAAAAATAATATCCGTAAATTCAGACACTATAACGAATCAAATTCCAGTGGCGTCTACGATAAAAAGGGCTTTCTCTTCCACGGACGTATCTATTATGCCAAAGAAAAAATTATCTCTGGCAGCCTCGAAGAATCCCATAATCTTCCCGAAAGTAGATTGCAATACAAACCTATCGATTCCTAACACTACACTAATAAAAACAGTACCTACTTTAAAAATTATGAGCGTCGGGCAACTATTAACAGAGAAGGAAGAGCAGAAACAAATTTTTATCGTGCAGAATCCTTCGAAAAAGATAGAGAATCCCACTAGGCAAATAATTCAAATTAACCCTAATTACGAGATTGATCAAAGCGCGTCAAAAATTAATGAAACGTGAATTTGCTCAAAGATATAAAGGATAAAAAAAAAAGATTAAAGTTACATTAAATTTCCGTAAGGAAATGACAGTGTAGCGTTGCAAGCGTGGTAAGCTACGATCATTTTAAAGTTCGCGCGTTTTGATTAGGAATTCGGGCGGGCTTCGCTGTTACAGAATACAGCACGATTATACATATTTTTTCCATTTTACTCGTACAATTAATTAAGAACCTATTTAGATTCAAATCAGCAAATAAGAACAATGAAAATGAATATGAATATGACAAATTTTAACTATTGTTTCATAACAAATTGAAGAGCGTTGTTTCGAAAATTTTCTATTTTCACATAGTATGTTTACGTGTGTATCTGAGAGGAATCATGTATTATTTATTTATTATAATAAATCGAGTATTTTCTGGCAATGTTTTTCAATCGCTTTATTTTACATGGTTGCACGATCAATACATTATACAGCCGTCTCCTCATAGAGTAGATTCTGTTAATTGAAAACTACGCATGTTTTCACTTACCGCGTGTTAATTAAAAAAAGAAACACATGTATATCTATAATATTTATTATTTATCCGTATACATATAAAAGATAGATCTGTTATATATATATATATATATATATATATATAATGATGTCATCCTTCAAATAATTATTCGTGTTAAATTACACGGTGTCCTTCAGTGTTAAAAATCTTGAAATTTTAGAATCAATTGTACATCAATTAGAAATTATACAAAATTTCAATTATAAAATCTTCCCATCGAGTGAGTTTCTTTCCAGTCCAACATTGTAAGAGATCTCACGATGATTCTGTGACCCTCCGGCCCTTATCAGTTCTCCGTCCAGTCGTCTAACAATTCTACACCGGACAGGAGAATGATAAGGGGCTTTGGGCACGAAACGCCTCGACGAGGCTATTAAAAACTTCCTTTGCCGCTTGGTATCCAATCTTCACGTGATTTCCTGTGGATTCTGAAAAAGAATACCCTAATCTACCCCTCGAGCATATCGGTTTTCCC